GCCCCAAGCTGTTGTTATTTTTATCGCGGCAGAGTGGACGCGGCCTAGAACAGGCCTCTGTGCCCACTGGAGCCTGCACTCAGGTGCACGATCGCCAGAAAGGTGCGCACCCCTCCGTTCTATTTATTTATTTAGGGGAAAACCGAACTCAAACGCCCAGTTGCTGTCTGGTGCCGGCCTTCCGACACACAGGCACGCTGTGGGTCGGACCAGACGGCTAGCAGGGCTTCCACGATGGCCTCGTCTTTCTCCCACCAAGGGGCTGGTGGATTCAGACCTCAGACTTGGAGGGTCCCAGCAGGTGATACACCCTCAGGTGCTGTTGCTTTTCCAAATCACCCAAACAGAACCACCACACCCTACCGCCCCCTCCCCAGCCCTAGGCCCGCCCGGGGGAGGGCCTGTTTTCCGGCTCTTGGCGTCTGGCTGTGGCTGGCATTTCTCAGAATGGAGTCCTGCCTGCACGTCTGGCTTCCCTCAGGGTTCCACCTCGGGGTCGTTAGTGTGGACCCCGGCCTCCGGATGCGGCCCGGACCGGAAGTCCCACAGCAGTGCATCAGCAACTGCACTGTCTAGTCGCCGTCCTTGCCACCAGCCCAGAGAGAAACTCCAAGGCCCCGGGGCGGCCCCCACCTCTCAGGGACCCTCTATCTCCTGTCTCTGGGAATAGCAGCAGTTTCTAATCTAATCGCACAGCCCTGACCTCTGGGGAGATTGGGCCCAGGGTTCCTGTGTCTGTATGTGAGAGGGCAAGAAGGCGAGGCATGGGGATTACCTGGGTGGTGTCTAGAATGTTTGTTGAAATTCCAAGCACTGGGTTGTTTGTCCGGGAGAAAGACGAGGCTTTCTCATCCCAGACAGTTGGACAGTCTGGGAAACTCACGAGGAGCTTCGTGCTGTCTCATTTAGTCTCCATGGGTCAGAGGGTTTTGGTTGGTTTGTGGAAAGTTTTGGTTTATAGGGGACCCCGTGGTGCCTTGGTGCCGGGATGGCCGGCTATCTGCAAGGTCAGCAGTGGCTCCGGGGGAGAAAGAGGGGCTTTCTACTCCAGGCTTGACACCAGCGAGGGCCGTTGTACCCTGTTCCATTCACCCCTGCCCCACGGGGTCACTCCGGGTC